ATTAGAAAGTTATTTTTATAATCTTAGCATCTAAAAGACTCAATTTCAGCTCACTAACTTAGTGATACTCAAAATTTCTGATATGTGATTATGTTAACATTAGTGTTCATGTTAAGCAACAGAAAAATATGGAGGGGCCGGGTGTGGTGGTGCACGACTGTAATTCCAGCACTCGGGAGGCTGAGGCAGGAGGATCCTTGTGAGTTCGAGGCCAGCCTAGGCTACAAAGTGAGCTCAAGGCCAGCCTGAACAGCACAGCAAGACCCTGTCTCATAAAGGCAAAAAAAAAAAAAAAAGGAAAGAAAGAAAATTATGGAGGAGGGGTGGATATAGAGAGGATAATCAGCTCCATTTGTCCAGAGTTTTGTGGTGAGAAAAGTAACATTGGTATGTCAGTAAATACTGAAAAAATAAAATACAGCTACATCAGGGACTTTTGGTAACTTACCAGTAAAACTCATAGACTACAAAATACTATTCACATCAGAAACAAAATATGCCCTACTTGAATGAATAAAAATCCTTCACCTTTCAAAGGCTGACTTCAATTCCTCACTGAAATTGGCAAGTGGAGTTTGGGATGCCGGCCATTAGCATAGTCAGTACTATCTCTGTGGATTTCCCCAGGCCAGCAAGGCTCTCCAGGAGACACCGGGCAACACTGACCCAGAGATGCTGCTAGCGAAAGGGGGAAGAGTGCCAGCTCACGAAGTCACGATACTTCATGGCATAAAGTAACAGATAACTGTTCTTAAGTGGCCAGACATGCATTAGAAGATTGATCTATTTTATGCTCTTTAAACTATCAGATCAATTATGATTAGTTCATTTTTATTGATACATAACAGAACTAAGAAAAGGCAAGTTCATTCCACTGAAATTAGAATGATAGTGAGCATTTGAACTAGGATTTGTACACAACTGCTTCTGGGAGTGGAAGCCCCGTATATTCCACATTGTGCAAATCAGCACTGAGAACTGGTTTTGGTTTTCCTTAATCAAAAGCCACCGTGCATTTATTTTCCATACTGATCTTCCAGGGAGAACACCGGGAGTGCTATGTGGAAAGCACAGAACTGATTATTGTAAACTAGAACTATGGGAAAGAGAGAGAAGCAGATTTTACAATGATCTAATTTTAGGGATTTGGCAAGAGAATTTCATGGACAAATCCACTGACATTCAGTAGATCAAAGCTGTAACTCCAAATCAAAAGTGACAGCCATACTATCAAAACTTTCCTAAGAGTAAGGCTGATGGGGGCAAAATGCTGAATTTTTAACAATGTGGGTGAATTATACTAAGTCAATAAAAGAAAAATTACACACACAACACATTATGCCCGCCCCCTTTTTTCTAAATCTGAAATGCTGTAAGGAATGTGTTATGTCAATTTGCTATTTCAAAACTATTTATATCCCCTGAGCTTTTGTGCTTTTTCTAGCCGTGTAAGTTCACTATTAAACTTTTAATTAATACATCATTCTCTCGGAGTTGTAAATCCATTTGCTTGGGTAATAATGTGAGGATCAAAGCATCTCGCTGCTTTTGGAAAATCAAAAAATTGAAAAATAAAAATATTAGGTACTAACTAAAATATATAGGTACTAAATAAAAATATTAGTACCTATATTTCAAAGCTTGCAGGGTTAAGTTTTCCCCAAAATAACTTTACTATGAAGGGCTAAATATAATTTTTATCACAATCTCAAGCTTGTTTCCTCTGATTCAGAATGAGCCCATCTGAAGGGGCTATGAGTGCATTCTGATCTCTCCAAGCATGCTAACCTGTGCAATCAAAGTTCCGCCACCACTTCCGCCTAAGCACACTGCCTGCTTCTGACGAGTACATTGCAAGCTTGGCTCCAGTGAACAGCACATGGTTTTAAAAGCAAATGCACTCTGTTTTTATTCTCTGGAGAATGAGTTTGAAATCACTTTGTACTTAAAGTATAAAGATAAAAGCATCTTTGCTCACAGGGCTATCTTTAAAGAGACAGGGGAATCTGCAGAAACAAAGGTGTGCTGTTCTCTTATACCAAACGGCTCCTAACATACTGGTTTTTTTGGCACGTATTTGTAGGAAATCCGAGACCTGAAATACTTACATTTTACACAATGTTCAGAGACAGGATGGCCCAAGTAATATTTTGAGAAAACAAAGTCAAGTGTTGAATGCTAACAAATCTTTATCACTCATGCCAGGCGCTCACAATCAAGGGCTCTGTAATGTCACTACTCGAGACAATGTGCTATTTCAAGGACACTTGAAGTTGACATTCTGAAATTTGAAATATGTAAACACCAGAGAAATGTACCCAGAATTGAATGAACTAGTGCCGTGAGTAACAAAGGCACAGAGTACCTTTCATTTTGATTGATACTGTCATAAACTTTTGAATATAATTTCTCCTCTACCCTTCCCTTAGAAGCAGGCACAGAAACACAACGACAGCTCTATGAATGATATTCAGACAGTCAGGACAGACATTCCTCAGCTGTCCTACCACCGTCCTACTCATTTCCTTATCATTGTTCATGATTTTTAACATTCTCAACAAAACTGCTTTAACATTTCTACCACAAAGTAGTTTAGAACCAATCTGCAACGGATCCACTTCAAATGATTGCTAAACTTCACATTCCCAAGGCTGAGGCAAGAGAGAGTCACGGATCTGAGACCGCTCGAGCTAATTTAGTGGAACCTTGTTTCAAAATAAAAGGGGTGAGGATAGAGCTCAGTGGTGGAGACCTTCTGAGTTTTGGTCTCAGTACTGAAAAAAAAGGAAGGAAGGAACGGAGAGAGGGAAGGAGGGAGGGAAAGAAAAAGAGGGAGAGGAGAAAGCAAGGAAGCCATAAAGCAAGCAAGCAAGAAAGAAAATGAGAAAAAGAAAAATCCTAATTTACGGACCCTGTAATAGTTGATACATTGTGTCAACTTCAGAAGTTTAGAAGTTTAACTCAGTGACTCAGCAGAGGGCCAGTGTCCTCGCTTTGTAAACATCCTGAGCCTGTATAAGAGGAGGGCACAGAGATGGTGTGAGTGCTACACCTACGGGAGGGCAGGTAGCCTGCTTACAATATAAGGGAGGAAAAGAGGCTTGCTCTCCCCCGCTTTGCTCTTGCTGCTTTTGCTGTCTTCTGCTGCCTTAAAGTGTTGCCCCTGTACCCTATCACCTTGCCATAGAGCCTGCTGGTTGTCTGCTGAAACCTCCACAAACTATGAGCTAAATAAACTTTTCCTTCTTTAATTTTGAATGTCAGGTATTTTGTCTCAGCAATGAGAGAAAAGTGATCAAGACAGGCCCATGCAAACTTAATTAGAATATCTAATTTGGGGTTTTTGGAATATGCATAGATTTGAAGCACTGAAAAAAAAGCACAGTAAAAACCGACAACGGCTATTCCTACAGAAAAGCTGTCAGGCTTGAGACTAAGCTCCCTCTCCCACCAAAATTTGGCTACAGGAACTGCCATGCACATACGCGCATGCATGCACATATAATCTTTATATGCTCTTCAATTTGAAATTTTACAGAAATCAATTTTCTACCAAGAAAGTTGTTCTGTCAAATTGGGACGGCGGTCTCCAAATGCAATGGCACCAGTGGGTTAGTGGCTCCAGGCTTTCCGGGAAGAGACCCTCAGCTCTGTGTGCCATCGGTCTGAGCCTTGGGCGCCAGGGCCTCCTAACTCCCAGTGATACGGCTCCTGGCAGCCTCTAGCCACCCCATCAGCTCCGCCACAGCCGGACCTTGTAGGCCCCGTTGCAGCTTCTGGATCGCAAGCAGCAAGGTCTGCTGCCTCCCTGGGTCCTCCGCTGTGGGCTCCTCTGGGACAAGCGGCCTTGGCTGCCCGCTTCTCCTCTCAGCCCTTTCATTCTTCCTTGGCCAACGGCCTCACGCTTCAGGCCTCAGTCATCTGCCCGTGGCCGCTTCTAGACCTGCCCTGGCTCTGGGCCTTCTCTACTGGCTTCTGGACGTGGGCTTTCCAGGGGTGCCAGTCCTCCCCTTTGCTGATTGGCCCCAGGCCTCACACAACACAGATCTTCAGTGCACCTCCACCCCTAAGTCTTCCAGGGTCATAACCTTTAGTACCAGTGAGCCCTTTAGTGCAGCCCGGGCAACCCACTCTCCCTCGACAGGAAATAGGAACACCGAGTGAAGCCTTCCTCATCCGCTGTGCCACAGCGCAGGCGCTAGTGTGCCCTGACTGCAGCGGGAGGTGGGAGCAGGGCGGATCTGGGGAGCAGGGCAAAGCCACCTAGAGTCAGCTGAGGCAGGGCCATCGCGACTAGGTCAGCATTGCAAGGCTGTGGCAGCCAGGGCCGCATCTTGTGCAGCAGCTTTAGGGCACAGAGGACACGCTTAGCCGTCTTGCTCAAAGCCGCTGAGCCTCCTCAAGCTAAAACAGTGGCTGGTGTGAATTTTGTGGCATCTCCAGGCGGGACTATTGATTAATCAGGGGCAACTGGCATTACAGGGACTGTGGAGAATACCAGAATGGGCCCGGCTGCCTCCTCAAACTCTGTGGCTCCTGAGAGAGGCAACAGTAGTGCCTACCTCAGGGAAAGAACATGATAGCCGCCTTCTCCTCATGGCCCATTCATGGCTGTCAGGACAAAGGAAGGCCTTGGCCTTTTGTATTTCTATCTCAGATTAATTGTTTACAACCTTATCACATTGCTAGGATTTAAAAATATATTTTGCCTAGAGATGTTTGGTGTGTACATGAACTGGTAGAGATTAATAGAAAAAAATGGAAAAACATAACAAGTACCATTCTGAAGTATTCCTTTAAAATACAATTCATGGTAGATTGTCTCCACTAATCTATTTCTAAGAGGAAACGTAAAATCAGTTAGGGAACGCTTTGAAAGTCTGACAACACTGATGACCAATGTCATCCCCTCCTAATGAATATAATGATAGTTTTTGGCAATCACTAAATCCTTATTTGGGTATGAAGAAAATTCTGACATTAAGGAAAAGTAAACTCACCACTTCTTCATGCCTGCATTTTCTGACATTAATTCCATTTATCTGCAATGAATATAAAAGCATAGTTTCATATAGCGTGCTGCAAATTGACTTTATATTTTGGTGCCAGAGATACAAGGATAAAATTTGTACCTGCAAAATTGCATCTCCGATAAACAGTAGCCCCGAAAGTTCCGCTGAAAATGAAAAGATCACATGATTACGTATTGACTATTTTCACCAAACATATGTGCTTTCTTTTAATTAAAGATTAAACTGACACATGAAACAAAATTTAATGTTCTATATTGTTAATATCTTTGAAAATCCACAAAGAATGGAAATGCAAAACTATAATATGACTCAACCCACTTTAATTACTGAATCACAAGAGGGATATTTCTATTTAGTCTATCTCAAACACGATGGTTGCTAAAAATTAATACTTTTTCTGGATGGACACCAAATTTTCTTAGGCTCTTAGGATTTTTCTTTAACAAAGTTTTAGACAAACATCCACTCCATAAACTGTACAAATGTCTCCAAGTTTATTTGTAATTATTATGTGGTTTTATTGATTTTAGGCATAGGAATAATTGTTATATATCTTTATTGACTTTCATGGTGAATTTGCATAGGAAGGGTCAAATGACTAAAATTGCACATAAGTACTGCCAAAAATGAGTAGTAAATAGGGTTGCCTTTACTCAATGTGAGTAGTTGTCATTGGTTTTGTTTCTGTATTTAAAAAATTGAAAAGTGAGGCACTCCTTAACTCAGACATGGTCACGTGGTGTACTGATTTTTCATCTCTGTTCTCTCTCTATAATGAAATCCTCAGAGTCAGTCACTGAGTTCCTGGACATCAAGAAACAGTAATACTTACAAAGGAATGGCTACCGTATTATCATCTAACACCTTACCTCTTTGTTCTTTGGAGATTTTTGAAACGACAACTGGAATGTTATGCTCTGCTCCTCCCTAAAAAAAGAAAATTGCATATAGTATCTTTTAATTAAAAAAAAGTAGCTTCTAGCTAAGAAGCTGTATAGGTGATGAATGCATATTAACTGGACACACAGTGAAATTTAAATAAACCTAGGTTATTTCTTCAATAAGTAGAGAGTGCGACCACAAACCTCTCTACCTGTGTAGAACTTTCCTGAGCGATCCAATAATGAGTAGCAATTGACTTTGAAAGTTTTTATTTCTCAAAAAAGTTTGACAAAGTTTTGATATTTCTAAATATTTTTAAAATTAAGTTTATTGGTGCAATTTAGACATAATAGAGTTTCTAAATAGACATTCTTTCAAAATCCATTGTAGAAATGTTATCCAGGGTAGGAATTCTTATTTGGACTCTCAATACCAGATTATTATGGATTTTGATTCTCTGGCTAAGTTTCTATACTCCAACCAATGGCAGAGACCTGTCTGAATGTCAAGTGATCAGCAAGACCTTTAGCAGCACAAACAGATAAACAAAATCAAGATGTGCAAATGAGTAAAGGAAAGAGCCTCATTTGCATTTCCTTAATTAGTATTAGATTATTGTTTGTGTGAAAGCGCATACTATAAAAGACACAATGAAATAGACTGCCAAGAATATCACAGCAGCACTTTGTTATTGGACAAAAATCATCTAAGAATAAAAGAAATTATGACTAAAGCCTCATAAAAACCTGTTTTATTGCAACAGAGATGAGAAAGGTAAAAACAGGTGAAAACTCAAGTATATGAAGGAATAAAATGTATAAAAGGTAACAAAAGGAAGTTACAAAGACAAGCAAAATTCTATTGGGTTTGTTCATCTTTAATGTATGAAAACCCTCAATTTTTTTTAAGGAAACAAATGCTTTGGTAATGAACCTTTTCCTTATCAATGTCCATTTTTATACTTTAAGTAGAAGATAGACAATCACTGGGGCTGGGGATTTAGCTCAGCTGCAAAAGCGCCTGCCTGGCAAGTGCAAGGTCATGAGTTCGGTTCCAGTACCGGAGAAAAACCAAAAAAAAAAAAAAAAAAAAAAAAAAAAAAAAAAAAAAGAAGATAGACAATCACTTTTGAGGAAAAAAAAATAGTAATATTCGATTGTTTTCATGGCCAGTGGAATGTTTCTTAGACACTATAAAAGGAGGCACAACAAATATGATAATAGAAAATGTCTACTCAGACTGACATAATACCCTATTATGTTTTCCTCACTATTTCCCACAGACCTAATATCCATCCACCCCAGCCCTCACTAACTGCAGAGAGAGCCACCTGCTCAGCTACCTGGCTTCTATTTGTGAATCTGTCTCTTAGTCTGTCTCTGAAAGCCCTGACCCTGTCCCAGATGGTGTCCAGTCTCTCATCTGATCAAAGGGGTGGTGACTTGTGACTGATTATGTGATAGAAATTGGTGCTCATCTTGTGCACAATAAACTCTGAAGACATGATAGCTAAACCTAGACTCTTATGTAGTCTAGCTTTAAGGTAACTAGTGAAATCCCATGAAATTAAAATGAGGGCAGAACTAACCCACTCTAAGCCCCCGAATATGTAAGAGGCCACTACTTCCAATTGTGTGTACTAATTTTCTTCTTTTCTAACTTGCTATAGTACTAATAAACTTTTTACTTATTAATTATTTCTTATTTTTTTCTTCCACATCCCTAATTAAAATGTTAGTTATATAAGATTATGAAAGTGTTTGGTAGTTTGTTTTGTACACAGACGAAACCCCAGTACACAGAATAATGTTGTTTGAGATAAAGATTTCAAGTAAAGATTGAAAATAAGATGTGAACTAAAAAATTAAAATTAAATTTTCAGCCTATGGTCACTGATAATTCCTTGAGATACTTAGAAATTGGAAAAGATGTTGAGAATGCTGCTACACTTCTTTTGAAGAAAGAGATACTGACTCAGATCATCAACTTGATGAAGTTCTTGGTGATAGAAGAAGATGAATTATTCAACCAGTATTGGAAGTCAATTATACTGGAGAAGGAACAACATAGTCTACTCCACTCTTTTGCCCTGTGGCTTCTGTTCAATTATTTTTGCATTTTATATATTTTTTCCTCATTCCACTGCAAAATTGAGAGATTTTCTTAATGTTTAAATTTTTAATCCAAGTAACTGGCAGCACAGGAAAACATTTCACATGTAACTTTACATGTAAAATTTATCCAGATTCAGTGCAAGAAAAGTTTATTTTTTTGTGGGGAGAGGCACTGTTTAGCTTTTGAACGGGGCACTTGGAGCTTTATGAAAAACTTTTAACTAATCTCAAGAAATGGCTTTGTTGATTGGGTGGCAAATTTTAAAACAAAACTCAGAAGATAAAAATTGGGATTTAAAATTACTGTACGTTCTTTTATTAGTTGATATGTGAGGACAGCTCAGCTCTCATAGCTAATTAGTTTTACTTCAGGACATAAATGAGGAAATTTATGGTTTTCCAGATAAGAACCAAATAATGAGGCTCACTTTCTTTAAAAGAGGTAATAAGATTCCTCCCACAATTAACAATCTAAATCCTTCACAACCCTTGTTGTGTGACCTCAGCCTCTCGGCTTAGCACTTTATCACTGAATTCCAGAAGACATCAGTATTTACTATCTTCTCTTCCTAGAATGTTATTTTTCACTCTTAACCTTGTGCATTCCCTCTTACATTTGAGATTTTAGGTAAAATGCCCCACTTTTGTTAATTACTTAGAGTAATTCTTTTATGCAGCAATGGACGATAGCTGTGATATATACGTATTTATATAGATAATCATTTGATCACTCTACTTTCCCACTAAAGTAAATGCCTGAGCTCAGAACAGGGCTTCTGTCCCCCACTTCTTCCCAACATATCTCTGGCCCACGGAGCAGGGTCCATAACCAAGAGTTGGAGAAATCAGAAATCGTGAATCACCCAAACCGTGTCATTCCAGTGGTATAATAAGGTTCAATATTAGGGAAAGTGACTGAATGTCCGAAAGTGAAGCTCACATATCAAAGCATGCATTAATCTATCCCACAATGTCCTTTTTATAAAGTGTAGTTGATATTACAGCTAGCAAAGAAACAAAGTTATGAATCCCATTTAAACTATTTGAAGAACTCTGTACAATTCTTTTGCCAGAATCATTATTAAAAAAAAATTGTGGTACTTTTATATAATGGAATATTACTCAGGTATAAAAAAAGATAAACTCGAGGCTTTTACAGGTATATGGTCACAACTAGAGACCATACTCATAAGTGAAATAAATCAGAACTGCACGTGTAAGCATTGTATTGTCTCACTAGTGCAGGACCTGAAAGTGTGAATAAAAACTAGGAGGTATCATAAACATAATGAAAGGAAAGGAAAATGCTCAAAAGTAAAGGGCAAATGGGGTGTGGGAAAAGAGAAAGGGAAATTATGTAAGTATGTACATACAGGATAGCTAACATAGTTGTACTACTGTCTTCCATTGCTCTAAAGAAAGGAACAGTTCATGATTACTTGTTTGATGAATCTCGTACGTCTCTATTTCTTTTCCTGAGAAACCACTTTGAAGATATCAATAAGTAATACATCAACCATTGTTAATTTCCTACAACTTTGTCTGTAACTCTGTTTTGTTTGTATTGTTCTTATGCTAGTTTGTCAACGGATGTCTGTTTACAAATATGTGTGTTTGTTAATATGTTTTCCTTCTTTTATCTTTTAAAATAAATTTTAAAAATACCACCAAATCAAACCTAGAATGTTTTTAGAATAACAGAAAACTTGTTAATAAATATTTTCCGTTCAGTATCTTCATTATTGAAATCGACCAGTTAATTATATTCTGGGCCCTGGGGATTAAAAAGATGCACAAACCTTGGCATTTTTCTTAAATTCAGAGTCAGAAAAAACTTAGCCCAGATGGGAACAAGGTAGAGCAAAAGTGGACAAGTTTGGGAGAAATACCTTTAAAATATTCCCTGAAGGAATATGACCAAATATATTTCATCATCTATCTGGATCCCATCAAAATCTGTTGAAATCATTTACATTGGCTTTAGAAAAATTAATAGCCTTTCCTATATACTATATGATTCCTTCCATATGAAAACCTATACCATGGAAATCTACTAAGATAAAAGTAGATCAATGGGTACTCAGGAGTAAAGGATCAATGGCAAAAGTATTTAGTGCTTCTTCTTGAGAAGATAAAATGTTCTAAAATTGTATCAGTGGTGGTTTATGTCCGTAACATGAACTAAAAATTTTTAGTTGTACCCTTTAAATGAGTGTAAACTTAAAGAACATGAATTGTTTCTCAAAAAATTAATTAAACTAATCATCTTTCAAAGTAATAATTGTGTAGTGGTTTTAACTGTCTCCTGGAAATAAACCATAATCTTGAAAGTAAGGTTAACTATTTGCCTGTTACATACTATTTCTGAGTGGGAAAAGGACACTTCATTTCTGTTTGGTGGAAACTAGTGAATTAGACTCTAGTACAGGAATGCACGGAGAAGCTGGTGAGAAATTCATACAAATGTGTATTGACTTATAATAACAGTTCTGATCTACAAACTTTTGCCCAGAAGTCACTAGTAAATCTCAAAAACAGAAAATTATTTCAGGTACTATGAAGGCATTTTTTATTTGTTAGATTTGATACTGCTAATATCTGACTCTAGACATTAGGAAGTGACTTGATTAACTTGGCCATTTTTACCTATTTGTTTTAGTTTTAAATAAAACAAAATGGGAGCAGCTTAGAGGAAGCATGATTTGTGTTTCCCACTGGAAAGTTTAGAGATAATTTAGTCTAGGTTTTATAAATATGAGGAATGACATTAAGAGTAAGGACTATGTCATCAGCTTTAGGTGAAGCGGAGATTCAGTTCTGCCACTTACAACAATGGATACATTACTGAAACTATTAATTTTTAAAACATTGTCTATGGAAGGGGTAACAATAGCTATCTGCTTTGCTGGATAATTAAGCCAAATTAAATAG